GTATGGTTGGGAAGAAACTTGGTTTGATTCTTGTTATAACACATTCTGAGCGTGGCGGTTATGGACTCAAGCCTTGTATACGATATGGATGTGAACGTAGTGGAAAATATAAAAACTGTATTAATCATTCAGGTCATTAACCAAAACATTAGAGGTCAGTTGGAACATATAAATGTGAATGCCCATTTGATTTAAAAGGTGTTAAATTGTCGACTAAGGACGATTGGATGTTGAAGGTGTTATGTGGACTACATAATCATCTAGTAGCACAACATTTAGAAGGACATTCTTATGTACAAAGATTAACTAATGAAGAGGAGCAGATTTTAATAGATATGTCAAAGTTTGGTAAAACCTAGAAATATGTTAATGACTTTGAAAGAACGAGATCCAAATAATGTTAGCACAATGAGGACTATTTATAATGCACGTGCAAGGCATAGATTGATTGAGAAGAACGCAAATGCAACAGTTAATGAGCAAGTTAAAAGAACATAATTGTATTTAGTGGCATAGGTCTCATGGAAGAACAGATGAAGTTAGAGAGCTTTTTTTGCACATCTGACATCTGCCGATTTCTTACATGCCTTTTCATGTGTGCTTATAATGGATTGTACTTATAAAACTAATAAGTATCAACGCCCTCTTCTTGAGATTGTAGGGGTTACTTCGACCCAAATGACATTTTTTGTTGCTTTCGTGTTCATGAAAGCTGAACATAAATCAAATTATAATTGGGCAATGGAAAAGTTGAAAAGCTTAATAAATCATGATGTGTTGCCGCATGTCATAGTCACAGATAGGGAACTGGCTCTTATTCAGGCAGTCGATCATATTTTTTCTAATGCTAAAAATCTACTATGCACATGGCACATATCAAAAAATGTATCGGCCAATACAAAGAAGTTTTTTGAGTGAAAAAAAAAATGGGATACTTTTTGTAGGAGTTGGAGCATACTTGTTGCATCTACTACGGAGGAGATATATGAACAATTGGCCAAAACTTTATCTCTCCAATTTGAACAATTTCTGAAGGCATTGGATTATGTTACAGGATCTTGGTTGAGTAAATATTAAGAGAAATTCATTGTTGCTTGGACGAATAAAATTATGCACCTCGGTAATGTCACAACAAAAAGGTAAAATTAATAATGCTTATATTTAATTTTATTATCAACATTTGTTTTTTAATCGACAAACAAATTATTGTCGATTTATCTAATTAAATAAACTATATTTATTTTATTCACAGGGTAGAGAATGCACATTCTAAGTTGAAAAAACATCTTGGATCATCACAATGCGATTTCGAAACTTGTTGGAAAGTTATGCATCACCTATTAGAATTGCAATTCAATGAGATAAAAGTTTCGTTTGAACAAAGTATGAATTTGGTTCAGCTTAACTTCAAACGTAGCCTCTTTAAGGAGTTGCGTGGTTTCGTGTCTAAGAATGCGATGGATCTTATATCAAGACAGTCAAATCAAGCAGAACATATTGGTTTGGACAAAAATGCTTTTAATTGCACTCTTAGATCCACACGTGGTTTGCCTTGTGCATGTGAGATTTCAGAATATATAGTTACAGATCGCCCAATTCCTTTGTCAGTTGTTCACCCTCATTGGAGAAAGATATTATGGTTCCATCAAATGATGTTTCTTCTAAGTTGAATATTGTAGTTGAATTAGAGAGTATTCAAAGATTGTTTGGCGAATGCGACAATGCACGAAAAGTACTTCTTAAAATGAAATTACGTGAAATGTATGAACCCTCCACTACTTCTTTGGTGCTGCCTGTTGAGAAAGCTAAAACCAAAGGCCGATCTTCATCAAAAATCGATACTTCAACTAAAAGAGGTCCTTCATTTTGAAATTGTTGACTCAGGTAATAATAGTAATTTTCGTAGCAGCGACAACTCCGCCAATGTTCCAAAGAAGGATAAACTTGAAGTTAGACGTGCTCGTAAGAACACTTTATACTATTATACAACATGTTTCCATGATAAAGTCAAAGAATGCATATTTAACATTGTTGATGTTAAGTCCGATGGTCATTGTGGTTTTTGGGGAGTGGCTAGTTCCCTTGGATTAGGATAAGAGGCTTGGTAACATATTCGACGTGGCCTTATTATTGAAATGAAATCTAATTATGATGCTTATGTAAAACTATATGGCAGCATTGAAAGGGTGAATGAGTTGTTATATATTATGGATTACTCTTATATTGGTGCCACATTTGATCGATGGATGACAATGTCTGACATGGGCCATTTGATAGCATCTCGGTATGGTGTAGTACTTGTCATTCTATCTTCTCTTCTATGCAATGTTTGACATTCCTACCATTGTACTCGCAACCTCATCTACCATTAAATCATAAGATTATATCATTGGGTTTTGTGAATGACAATCACTTTGTTCAGGTATTCTATTTTAATTATTTAACTATATGTCATTAGTGAACTTATTGCTACTAATTTTATTTATCACTTGCACAAGTCAACTTGAAGCCCAATTGCCCAATTCCACCTGTGGCGTATAATTGGTACAAATATTGAGATGATATTGCACATGGATGGGAGAGTACGTATAAAGCTAGAATACAAGCATTCAAAGAGATGATTGACACTGATATCACTACACAAGAGATTTTTAATGTAAACTCTCCATGATTAGCACGAGTATCACATAAGAGGTCAAAAGAGGATTTTGATAAACTTCTTGCACGGCTAGAAATTTATTCAATTTGATTATTTCGTGTTTCTTGCAACCATAATCACCAATGAGATTGCCAACTTTATTTATTTATTTATTTTTTCAATCTGCCTTTTTAATTCACTTTTATGGCTACCGGGGATGTTTCGCCCAAAACCCAGGCTTGCAAACATAATTCACGTTTATGGTGGAGGAAGCATTATTGGAGCCCGCTTGCGGGGAGATGAAATAAATAGTGGTCAAAAGATTTATTAATGAAGTATAGAATTAATGTTAGAAGTAGATTTCAGTCAATGACTAATAAACACTGGAACAAAGCTATGTAAGATTTATAAGTTTCCACTAATTGCCAAAAGAAGCAAGATGATGAAGCAATTCTTTCTTCCCACTTGGTTCTGCATAAATACGGTGTAAACAACAAGTATAAAAATGATAGATTGATGATGTTATGTTAACAAGGATGTTTCCTTGGTTGATCAGATTAGCCACTATGAAATGAGTATTACATGAACAATCTTGAGATTACCCAACGCGCCTAAATTAGAGAAAATAAAGAACAGCTGTGTCCTTTGCATTGACACATCCTATTTATGACCTAAAAGGGAACACATTAAGAACGAGGCAGCAAGAGAAGGCTTCGAAGGTACCGAAAAGCTGCAATTTTTAGCCGTTATTTGCCACTTCTTGAAGTGAAAAGGTTGAGGAAAATTGAAGGTAGTAACAGGAGTTTTAGGTGCTTTTGGTGAAAAGAGAGTGATGGAGACGCATAATTGGAGGAGAAGATAATGGAGTTTATGGAGAAATCGGAGAAATCGTCAATGTTTCCAACAGAGGAAGAGTTGCTCAAAGCTGGAAGAATGGATTTGGTGGAGGCTATAAACAAGAAGAGTAAAGCCCCAAGCACAAGGGTATTCTTCACAGGGGACTTACAGGACCCTCACTGTAGCGGAGGGCCCCACGTGTAATTAAAAAAAAAATTGCACGCGGGCCCCATGTATGTGTGTGGCCTAGCATGGGCCTGTGAAAAAGGCCCCCGTACGTGTAGCCTATCTCAAGTTGCTCAAAGCTGGAAGAATGAATATAGTGGAGGCTATAAACAAGAAGAGTAAAGCCCCAAGTACAGGAACTGGGGACTTGCAGGGCCCTCACTGTAGTGGAGGGACCCCACGTACAATAAAAAAAACTGCACGCGGGCCCCATGTATGTGTGGCCTAGCAGGGGCCTGTGAAAAAGGCCCATGTATATGTAGCCTATCTCAAGAAAGGTAGGTGGTATTTTCTCGGTTCTAGTGGCTGTGAAATAATGAGGGGAAAGGTTGACAGAAATGAATGAGTGTTAATATTGGAAATAAGTACACCACAATATTTTATTATTTTTTGTTTTTATTGAATTATGATTATAATTGTAAATTTATTGTGGTGTATTTATTAAACATATATTTTAATTGTGGTGTGATTATAATGTGGTGTAGTAATTAAAATTTGTAGTTGTAATATAATTACCCTATAGAAAATGATACTTTAGACATTTTAAAACAAAAGAGACCTTAAAAACTCATTTGAATGGCCACAAAATCTTTTGAAGAGTTTGATTAAGCATTTTGTAAAAAAAAACAAAAGAGACCTTAAAAACTCATTTGAATGGCCACAAAATCTTTTGAAGAGTTAGATTAAGCATTTTGTAAAAATTCTCCAATTTTCAATCACAATCACATTCACACAATAAAATACTTTATCCAAAAACCCAAAATTATTCCATACTCTTTAACCATATATTCGCCAGCTGATTCACACGAGATTCCAAGTGTCCCCACTTTTTTCAGAAACATTTTCAGTTGTTTTGGCCTTTTAACTATTTCTTTAATTTGTTTCTGTAAACTCACTCCATTGAGTTCACCGCCAAAACCACCTTTTTTTTTTCCAAAACATTGCCACCGAACGGGCTAAATTGCTTTTAAATGATACCATGACTTAAAAGCTACCAAAGGTACGTCCCCAGAATTAAATGCTTAATGCCAAAAGCTACCAAAGATACGTCCCCAGAATTAAATGCTTAATGCCATCACCAAATTTGGAAATTTTCTAGTTAAACGAACTGTAATTTAGTATTTCACATCTTTGGGTTAGAAAAAAGAAAATAGACAACTCACCACGTGGCCTAATAAAACTGGAAAACCTCCTTGCATATAAAAATGGGGCTGTATGGGGGCCTTAAATGTTACTTCTCCATCTATCCCAATAATTGAGTTTTTCTCTCCTTTAATCCACACAGCGAACTGAAATTTCTTCAGTTAGCAGCCAATGACTTGTAGCTGCTCATCAGTACCAGCAGCCAACTTGACATTTGCAAAGCAGTAATTTCACCAAGTTTTCGAAGGCTGCAGTGTTCCGTTGACATCATGCAACCAGAAGAAGCTGGAACAATTTGAGAAGTGTCATTCCGATTTTCTGCGAATTCTCTTCTTTTGTTTCTCCTGCTCTCTGTACCTTCCACGTCGTTCCTCTCTCTGGCGCTTCTTTGAAATCTGCTCTTCCTTTGAGCGCTCCACTTCTCGTTCTTTCTTCTTCGCCTCCTGCTTGAGATTGCGTTTTTTCATCTACAAAAAGGTCATTACAAATGTCTAATAAATTACTTCCGAATCTGACAAACATGTTTGTCTAAACTTCAAAAGAAAATTACAGCAATTACTAAAAGCAACTTTCGTTTTCAAACATGATTGGAAATGTTACTTTTCACTTACTTTCGAGTACAAAAAGTTAAATTTTGAAAATATAATCATTATATTGCTGTCATGTTGAGTAACTTATTTCCAATTTTAAAGTAAAATTCTTGCTTATTTACTTACAAATAAACTTTTTAAGCTTTAGCCAAAACATGCTTCTCGCTAAAGAGGAATACTTCAAAACAGTTAGGCACAATGTTTCTTTCAATTCCAATACTCTAATTCCAGGTTGCCAAATGAACACTAATGACAATTACCAGAAACCACCAGACTTCACATGAAAGATTCCACTTCAGCATTGGAACAAACTAAGCCATTTTCTCTTCTACACTTTAGTTTTCCAATAAATACCTTTTCATTTCTAATGAGCTGAAGGTGTTGGACAAGAGTGTGCACTTTTCGTTCACGAGGTTCCATAACAACAGCCGTAATTTCACGTGGCTGCTTTCGAACAGTAATGTTCTTGGGCTTTGAGGAAAATGGAAGAGCTTCCTCTAGCCTCTTTGGAATAACCAATGGATTGAACTTCTTTGCCTTCCTTTCAATATGCTGTTAATTAAAACAATACAAAAGGTAAAAGGTAAGGATGCTGTACATAGAAAGGAATGTATTTTGTTATTCCATGCCTTTTTTTTTCTACTTTAGGGGGTAGGCGGAAGTGCAAGAGGGAAATGAGTTCAAGACAGCGGTGAGTTCTCACCTGATACAGTGAATCCTTGTTGACAGGTACCGGAAGATTGTGTTCTCTCCTCAATTCAGCAACTGTTTTCATTCCTTGCCATGTCTTGTCACGGGGCTGCAGGGCTGTTGTTAATGGATTGTAAAAGCAAGGTACTTCAACTTGAGTCCAAGCACGCAGAAACACAATGTCACCCATTTTTATTTTATCCTCAAAGGTGCATCTAGCAATGCCTTCTTTAGCATAACCACCCTTCTTAATTGACTTGTTACCAATCTCATCTTTTGCAGCCTAAATCAAAACAACAAAAAAATAACAATCTCGTGAGTTCTTACTTCCAAAGCAATGGAAGTTTTCTAGCTTTCACAATCATTAATAAGTATATATGGTACCATAGTCGAACGAAGTTTGATGAGAAGGAACAAGAACAAGAACAAAGGAACATATATGGCACAAGAATATTCAACTAAGCCTTATTCTCAATAAAAATGGGGTCAGCTACAATGAATCATTTTTCATCGCTACTATTAGTTCATTGCTATTGCTACATCTCGTAAAAGATCTCGTGCAACTAAATACTCAGCACCACATTAGAGCACATCAGTTAGGTCTACACCTCCCTCTTCTAACTTGCTCTACTAAGATCTCATCACTCTTAAGAATGAAAGGCCCTTGAGGTATATGCAAGACCTACCCCCCACCCCAACCAAGTCACCATTTACTTGATCTCTCCACAATTACTGCCACCTCTGCTTATTGGGATGTGACAAATGAACTCATCCATGTATTAATTGATTTTTTTTTACTCAAACATTAACTTATAAATATTTGTCCTGTTGGCAGCATATCAGAATGTATCATTTCTACCATATATACGATAAAATTTTGGTACTCTATTTTATGCATTTTCTTCTTCGCCCAACAAACTCTCACTGTTGACCTGTCAAAAATGCTTAACAATTCCAATTATACGGAAACTTTTTCCAGCACCCTTTTCAGGAGATCCCCACCCTGAAAAAGAACATAAATAAAAGAAAAGTTTCTTATAACCATCCTCTAATTGTTTCTTCTTCCTAATGAATAGACTTACAGATTTTCATAGAATGTGGATAGTCGTGATTGATTCTATGATGATGGGAAGAGAATGAAGAAACACTGGAAACCAAGCTTAACCACTGATAATTATGTGGGGTTTCAGGCTCACACGGTGAGTGAGATAAATACCTTTTTCACTTGCCCACGTATTTTACTAACGGTTCGCACAGCAGCACCTTCAAACCTGGCAACTTCAAGATCTGAAGTAAACATGCCCTCTATGAGAGCAGTCTTCTTGAAGACCTTAGTGGGATAACCAACAAGCTTGATCTTCTTCATTATCTTTGCAGCATGGTTGAATTCCAGCACTGTTGCAGTTGCTGTGATCCTAAATGTTGCCTGCAGAATACAAAACCAAGTCAAGAGGGAAAAGAAAACAAAAATTTAAGTTTTTTCTTTTGAGGAAAATAAACAGTGAATTGCAACATTGAATTGTTATCAGCAGGTATAGAACCTCTAATTTGAACAAGAAAATGTTTTGTTGTTCTTTGTTAAACATAACACCAAAATCTATAGCATCTCTAATTTAAACAAGCAAATGTTGTGCTCTGTTAAACATGACTGCAAAATCCATATGCTCCCCCATGAATCAAGTAGACAGTTGAATTATCCATGCAATCTAACAAACTAAAACAGAAAACATGCAGTACCAATGCCTTCTGGGAGGCATTCATTAGTAGCCTAATGCTTACGCTTTGAGTGGCACGTGTCAAGACTTGTGCCTCAATCCACAAGCCTCGAGCTAGTTGAAGTTTGAGCCAATTGGCTCTTTTGAGATAACTGTGTGACCAATCTCGGCCATTTGGGCTGTTCTTTTCATGTCCCAGAAAATTTAAAGGTTTTTTTGTGTTAGCAAACCCTCCAAAAAGGTAAAAAGAAAAGAATTTGAGATTAGAGAAGTGATCCCATGTGTGCTGTGCCCTAGCCTTCTAATCCAAAAACTGAAGTGTGACCTCCGAAGTACTTGCAGTTTTGTTGAGGTAGATGACAAGTTATTTTTCTTATTTTTCTTTCATATTTGACCAGGTGGTCTCTTTATTTTTCTCTTTCCTAGTTTGATTTTTCTTTAAAGTCAAAGCAAATAAAATTCTTGCAAATAGCTGGCCACTGGCCAATTGTTTCAGTTGTAATTGTGGATTAGTGGTCTCGTTATGAGATCACTACCGTGGTAATTTATAGTTGAATACTAGGCATCTAATTATGTTGAAATGTTTTATTATATATATTTTAGATAGTTCATGATTCATTGTGAGCATAATTTGTATCTCTATCAAATTTTTGAATTATATTATTCATGTAAGTGATTTTTATGACTCAAAGCACCATAGTTTTAACTCACCTAACGAAAGCAAAATGCCTCAATATTCACTTTAGCCTTTTCAAACGCTATACATATTATGCACCGTGTACAAGGATAAAGTAATAAATTTGATAATGGAATTGATGCTTTGGCATCGAAAATTCCATGAACAATGTAAAAATATGAAATGAGCAACGTAAAGAATTTAGTAAATGAAGCTATAAAAATATGAAATGAGCAACATACAGAATATCTGTACAAATTTTATAGACTTGACCCCTTAAAAGTCATTTTCCCCACTTAGTTTTCTGGTGCAATTTGGTACTGTAATTGACTTCTTTAAAGAAAAATGTTCACTCAGGCTGGTTCAAAGCCCTATGTTAAACAGGAAAAATCCCATTTCATTCCGTTTTCTATTCTGAAATTCACATAGATCACCAGCCATATTTATTATGCATTTAATTATTCTCCCAGTGCTCCAATTTGACAAAATAACCCCATAAATCTAGAGCGTATTTGGCTATGTTTAAAAGTTACTTTTTAGAAAGAAAAAAAGGTCTTGCTTTCTTTTCAAATGAGTTTTGTTAGTAAATAAAGTAACTTCGAAAATCATATTCGGAAAAATAAGAAACTTAAAAGTCAAACTTCCTTCAAGCACAACCAAACAAGCTCCTGTTCTTGCCTGTGCTTTAAAACGAATATACATCCAAATCATAACTACTTTGTGCATAACATAACCAAAAGATAGTAAAAGACAGACATTATACCTGGTTATTAGATAAGTTCTGAACAGCAACCACTCCGGTATGGGGTGGCGCAAGTGGACCCCAGAACATGGCAACACAATGCATGTGTTCAGGAGTGTATTTGAGCATGCGATATCGACCATTACGGTCCTCAATGGCATATATGGGAACGGTTTGATAGCGTCTCCATCCCATAGAAACAATTATCGGGTCTCTAGTCTTCAGTACTTTCTTGTGCCATCTATGCCGCTTCAACCGTACCTTTAGAAGGTAACAAAAAAATAAGCATGCACTTGATATGTGATAAATAATGAGGAAAGAAGTAGGTATATGCAATTAACAATTCATTCAGGGCTGTTTGGTACAAGGTACTAAATAGAACTGACTGGACACTATGATGGCAAAAGTTTAACTTATTTTTCTTTTATAATATGGCCAAATACTGTATAATCATCCGACTTACCAAACAAGCACTCTGTACATGAACAGAAAAAATATAGTGTAAAACTTTCAACCCCCTCTGTTGCAAAAGCAGAATTATTACACCAAAAAGGAAAAGCACGCCACTTTCTAGATTGCAGAAAGCAAAGCAAAATATTTACGTAGTACTAGAAAACATTGTGCCTTCAAAAACTAGGACACCCATTTGGAACAAAAAGATCATTACGACAATTTTCAAGCAATGAACAAGCTCAATCAACATATTTGTGAGATAGGACTTCCGCATTTTAGTTAGTAGGGGATATTGTGACGTGAAAAAATATTAGGCGTAGATTTCCCAGAAAACAAAATTCATTCCAAGGCAATCAGTTACTCGAATCATATAGCTACAAGTGTGAATTTGGTTACTTTATATTTCTTGCCTTTCGACCCCTAACAGGAACTAAAATGATGTGATATTTCACTCAGCATCTAATTATTGACAAAACCAAATAAAGCTATATATCTTCCTCCGTCTTTCTGTGTTTCCTCTCATAAAAGTTTTATTAAAGTACGCCAAGGAGGTGGAACCCCATGTATGTACTATCCATACTCGAACAAAAATAAGGCGAGTTTGAGAAGCGCATTCCCAAACCAATGAACGTTGGTCCAAAAGCATAAATAATGTCAAACTACTCCTCCTTTAACAGTAGAGAAGAATAAAGGGTAACCAATCACCGTTAGTAGTACGGGAGACAATTCTTTAATAAGATTCAGCAATAAACTAGCATAAGAGGAAATAAAGAATAACCTAGCAAAACAGTTAGTATTAGATAATAAATAAAAGATGATAAAAGAAATGTGTTTCTAACCTGCATATATCCAACATTCTCCTCTCCAAGTGCAAGTCCTCCAACAAGAATAGCGTGAGCAGGATCAAAATTTTCTACCATTTCAAAAGGAACACTAGAAACTTCAAGTCTAAGATAAGTCCCTGCTCTGTAACCTTCTATCTCAATACGAGTAGTGTCATCTAGTTCATTGAGTTCAGCCATATTTACTTGTTTCCGAAGTTCAATTTCCTCCTTCAACTGCAGAAATACTGAATTAAGTAACTTTCTTTGAAGTTTGCATATTAGCTCGTATCAGTGCTAGAAATATTACCTTATCAACATACTCACTTCCATCAGTTTGTCCATGGCTAAACTTGGTGTCACTTTTGCCATCATTGTCTTCATCAGGCGATTCAGAACTGTCATACGTGTATTAGAATTAAGGGCACAAAGTTCAATTATAACATGGCAGATGCCATATAAATTAGCAACATAAGGCCTAACAACCACAATATTGCAGCTAGTCATAAATCTAAAGTAAAGAGATTTCGAGACCAGACAATTCTCTCTCCGCAAACATCAAGAGCAATCACCAAATCATGTCAACCAACGAAGGTTTGCAGTAATGGTTCATAGTTAAGTCAGTCTTAAAAAGAAAAATCAAGCAATTCAATGCAGATCTAAATACAAATTTTGACAGCATTAATATCCTAATTAGCTAACACAACCAAAACGACGATATAGAAAAAGAGAGGTGCAAGTATATTATATCTAAGAGAAGGATATTGGGCATCAAATTTTGCACGAAGAGCCAGTTTTTTCCGTCTTCTCTCCTCAGCAGTTAACTCATCATCCTTGTGGACATTACCAAGCCTGTCCGTCTGATTACTCTCATACTTTTGACCTGTTTCCAAGTCTTCAAATTCACCAAATACATCATCATTGTCTTCACCATTATCACCAGAAGTGGCTTCTGAAACTTGACCTCTCAATGCAGCTTTAGACCAATCTCCAGTAACAAAACGATCACGAATGCTTTCAATTAAATCTTCACTCCTCCAATCCTTTTCACTTGCATAGTGAATGAATTTGGAGCAGTCTTCAATGTCCACATTACCATCATCAATTCCTTCCTTTGATTTCTGTAATTAATCAAATAACGAAGCAACAACCATTATGCAATGTGCCAAGATAGACTTTGAACAAAACCAAGATCGTTACATAGCAAAAACAAGCAATGCACGTGTGTGAGTGAGTGAGTGCGAGGAAAAACCTTATTTCCCTCCCCTTTAGGCCTGAAGAATTCATCATCCTCACTTTCTTCCTTCTCGCTGCTGTCTTGCTTTTCATTTGAAGACTCTGACACAGGTTTCCCATATACGAGTTGCATGAGATTAACATTCTTTCTCGAGGCAGTTCGTTCTACCAAGAACTCTTTCCATTTTGAAATGTTTCCCATGTCATCTCCTGCAAGAACATGCATCAACTGATGAGGAAAAGGTAAAATTTTCATGAAACAGAGAGGGAATCTTTTGGAAGGTGGAAAGAAAATTATATATATACAGAAAGAGATGATGTTCAAATCATATATATTCGAAGTAATGAATCCAAACGATATATACACAAAAAGAGATGCTTTTCAAATCAGATATATTCACGGTTCTGAAACTCCAAATAGAATCATGTACTAATATTATATACAAATATCTAACTGAAGTAACAAAGAGTACCATCTCTAGCATGATCTTCATCCTCATCTGAAAAATCAGAATGAGAAGACGCGTCTTCATCTTTGTCACTTTTTATTTCAGTATCGCTAGAACCCTGATCATTATCATCTGCTTCATCATCATCAGAGTCCTGCATTGAAAGGATCCACACCATGGTTGAGGCAAAAGCCACATACTTGATTGTTGAATCGAAATCTCTATGTAATAGAAACAAAACTAAAATTCCAACAGGTACCATTCCAGAGAAAATTGATACAAAATCACTAATGTGCCAGGTCACATGATGTTTTAGGCTGTTTTCCTGTGCTCAGGCCTTGAAATATGAAATGCATTCTGAAATGTATTGAAGTTTTAAAGAGGCCAAGGCAAAAATCTTAACATGGTACACTAATCTTTCAAAAAGGACAAGTTTCTAGACTTGCTTCAGTAACACCAGTCTGAACTTTTACGCCTATAGAAGACTTAGCTCCAAAATATCTTTTCATCGTATAACTTAATGTTTAGCTTATCTATTTGTCGGATCTTTCGGAGATAATAAATGTCTCTATCTTAAATATGGTTATTCTTAGTCTCTTTACATTTTACATAATATTGTTATCTTTTGTCCAACAAATAGACGTGTAAATTGACCTTATTTATAACAAAGGCAGTTACCACGAAAGAAGGAAGAATAGACACTTTGGTGATACTAATGCTTTTTTCATTAATCTGTTTCTGATCACTATAAATGGATCATTTTGTCCCACATTCAAGTTTGAGAAAGGAGACCACCACCACAATAGGATACCATTTGAATGATAATTGAAAATTACCTTCAGATGATCAATATCCATGTCATTTTCAAAAATAGCTTTTCTTCGCACCCTTCCGTCATGGAAATTTATCTGTTCCTTAAAGTTTCTTGCAGCTGGAGGCTGGTGGTCTGATGTAAAGTAATTTTCCTCATCAGAACTATCATCTGAAGTTTTCATAGATAAGTTCTTTTGAAGAATTTTCTCTCCATCTGAAGATTCTATCCTATCTCCATCCTCAGTGTGTGTATCTTCCTCTGACTCACCATCTTCGTCTTGTATCCCGGATCCATACTGCTCCGCAGGCTCCAAGGCTTCCCTTTGGTTACCTGAGTCAGGAGCATCTGTTGAACAACTTGCTGCTTCTGATCTCCCAAAAATCGAAATCTTCTTCTCTGTTGTTTCATCCAGCAAATATTCTGGATTCTGCAATGATTTAACCATTTCTACGCCATGGTCACGTTTCTTTACTGCGAAGGAAAGAACGCATAACAGTGAAGCAGAAAGCAAGAAGTAAAATGCCAAGAAGCTGACTGAAATAAGATAGTTAATTTTTCATCTCTATAATTTTTCAGATCACTATTCTCCCTCTCTGTTCTAGTTTTCATATATTCATAGTAATCAAAATACCGATGAGAAACTTAACTGAGCACGTGAACTTTTAGCTGGCAAGGTTTCATCCTCAATGCAAACTTGTAAGTTGTAATATTCAAATCCTTATTAACGTATGTGTATATTATTAATGCATGTACCAATATGCCCTCTTTGTCAGAAACTTCATGAAATATTACAATTAACGGGGAAGGACAGAGAATATATATGTCCATGCCAATTTCTAAAACATAATACATAACACGCAGTAAACCAAACGTGGGGGAGCTTGTGTAAATTATTTCAGAGCGTAAAATTTATAAATTATGACTATCCAAATTTTGCAGTATTAAACGACTGGGGAAAAGTACAAAATGAAAACAAAATATAAACCTCTTTGTGTTCCGCTGGCATCAACTTCATCTTTAGAGTACTGAACAAAGTCATCTTTTATAGTTATGTAGACAGCATCCTTATCATATAAGAGATCCCCTATTCCAGACATTGGCGCATAAAACAGCTTTTCTTTATCACGTAGTCCCTTCTTTTTGGCAGCTGAAGGCAGAGGGCAAGGATCAGCTAGGGCTGTAATGTCATCCAATCTATAATCACCCACGCCAGCAATATGCACCTATAGTATGTTATAAACTAGTTAAACAATAGATTGCACAGAGTAATATAATAACCTTTTTCGGCAATAAAAATAGAAAATCATATCATAGGAGAACAGTACCAAATAAGGAATATAGTTCCACTGCAATCACATGAAAGTACAGATCCTCCAACATCTATATAAACACTGGTTTATCAAGAATACACAAAGAAAGCATTCGAATTGTTGATTAATTGTCTAGCTCAGAACCAACAGTTCATTATCTAATAGATCTTTCCTTTCAATACTCTATCCAAGATATATATATTTACCAAATTGTTACTATCTAAGGAACGCTATTGGATCAAATGACAAATACATTGATTCGAAAACTACAGCTTTCACATGAAACTTGGATTCATGTAACAGGAAGGACATTCATTTGAAAAATATCGCTGGAAAGATATGCGACCATAAAAGAGAAAAACGAATTAAGTAGAACAAACTGACTGGGTGGTAAACCCATGTAAACTAACAATATCAAATGATAGATAACCATTTAACCCAAAGCATGAAATGAAAGATAGATACCATGGTGAATTCTGTCCTATAAAAGTCAGAAAACAAATGGTTCAAGATAGAAGTATATAAAAGGAAAGTTTAGTACATATGGACACCCAAAACAAAATTTTATTCACTTCTTGCTGAAACAAAGAATATACAAAAGATGTAAGAGACAGAATGAGTGCAAGTTAATAAGGGAGAGAAAATATATGAAAATCCTAGTCCAATCTTGAAAAGTTAACAGAGCGAAACAAGACCGATCTTGAAAAGCTTCGAACAGCAAAAATAGGTATTATAAATACAGCTATAGTTTTACACCTTAACCCCTGGTTTGACAGCATGTGAATGACTTTTAGAAAGTACTCAGAATGCAAAATCCAACAAAATCAGTTGAAATCTTTCATCTAGGGCATTCTGGTCCAAACATTTCTGCTAACCTATTTGCAACTTAAAAAAGGAAACTGAAAAATAAATGAAACTGGTTTGAGTTGTTTACCTTAGTTCCCTTCTTCAAATTACAGCCACGCAAATAACCATACAAGGTCACATTTCTGTTACATTTACTATTCATGCGCACCGTCTCTGGATGAGTAATATCTTCAAAGCGATCTACCAAGATGTAAGGATGAGAAACTCTCCAAGATAAAGGAGGAAACTTCATAACCGAAATAAACCTTGCAAGATTATGTATCTCGCGCTTAGTGTACCTGTTCATTGGCAGACCAATAGAACCTATGTAAATGCCCATCACTAACCCCTTAATTATTAATAAACAAGCTGAAGGAAACAGTCACCCACTTACTTTCCATGAATAAGGCCAGATAAATAAAATAATTTGGCACCGTCATATATCTCAGTCCAGAATCGATGCTTGAGTCGTTGCTTTGTTTTCTTGAGTTTCTTAACATCCTTAAACTTGTCGAGGTGTGTAAGAACACCCATTATTTTAGGGAATCCATGATTTTGTAATATGTTGAGGAATTCAAATGTTTCCTGCAATTGGAGGTAGAGAATATTATAAGAAAATGACAAAAAAAATGTATTTTCTATTATATGATGAAGAAAAATAAACGCTGATGTAACTTAAACCAAACGCATAGGGCAAAATGATTGCCTTCCTTGGGAAAAATTAGACAGTGGCCAGTGGAAAATCCAACTATATTCGAAATGTGAATATTAATTTCAACATAATTTTGCAAGAAAATTTAAACCTCAGTGAACAATGAATCCTACAGATGGAGAGTATTAAAATAATTCAGTGATGGCTGGGAACTTATCAATTGATCAAAGAGGTATATTATTATCTTGCTTGTACAAATTTCCTATTCATACTCTTGCAACAAAAGAAATGTTATTCTTCCACATGACCTGGCTGTTTTAGGGAACAATTTGCTTGTTCCCAGTTTAGAGTTGAGTTTTGATTGTCTAGATAGCACAAAGGTAATGAATTAACAAACTTCACTGCACAAACGGACAGGAAGTCAATGTAGTTGGCATAATCTCGCTATTCTTCCTATGTTTGACCTGACTGAACTGCTTTCAATTTATAAATTAACAGCATAGGTAATCTAATCTCCATATCTGACAGGATCTCCTGCCCCTGGGTCTGCCTCGACTCTAATCAAAAATCTAAATTTTGTATCAATACCTCCATAAAGCTATGTATACATGTTTGTACGTGTACTTACCTCAGTCAGACGCAGATGTACTTCTTAAAACCTCCTGATACTTGGAAGAATTTACAAGCAAAAAGCAGAAACCAACAAGTAGAAGCTCACCATTTCAAAACCATAGCTTCCATCAATGAGAAGCAAGGCCAAATCGGCAAACTTAGCACAATCGATCATCCCATTAATGTCATTTGGACACTCCACAAACTGCAGTCTCCTTTGCTTACCTACACCAAAATAAATCAACAAAGCATTCATCATTTATCAAGCCAATAACAAAAACTAAACACCAACATAAATCGTTAGAATTTCACCCAGTCAGCATTCCCATTTAATTGATACATTCTCCAGAAAAATATAAGTGGGTATCGGTGTTCTTGAGACTTTAGTCATTGAAAACATGTGAAAATTATTTGAGGTCATCTTTGGTAAACGGAAAGGCTCATTCATGATCTAATTTCATTCTCTGTTTTTCCAAGTGGCAGGATAATGAAGTAGAGCAACTTTGTTCACTTATCCTTCATTTTCGTTCCCTCCAACATTGATGAAGCCATCATAAAACCGATCATTAAAGAAAAAGAAATAGAACAAGCTTGTTTAACCTGATACAATAGTAATTGGACCTCGAACTTCAGGTAAATTATGCTTCGTGTAATGCTTTACAAGACATTTGATCAGCAAGGACTTCCCCACCTGCAATGAAACCGACGAATCTCATACAAGTCGATGGCTGTTGCATAAATTTATAACCAAGTGGAATAAATATTAAGTTTATACAAACCTGGGGAGGTCCCTGGACTACAACAACAAAAGGAGCAGGTTCTCCTGTGGAACGGTCCATCATTGGGATATGAAGCCTCTGCTGCTCCTTTTCTGTAGCTCGTGCTTGCAATCGCTTTGCTTTGACGGTTGAAGTAAAGGCAAACGCCTATCCAGAGAATACATTGTAGAGAGCGCAGTGTCATCACGTCAATGCAAAAGACAACAAAAACTCGGTGCTTAATGATGTAGGGCGAAAAATTGTTTCTTTAGAAAGCAAAGCCAAATCCTCCAGAATTATACAAAACTAAGAAAAATAAAAGCATATATGTACAGGTTCAGTAAATGTTTTTGTTTCTTTAAGTTTAGTCACCCGCATTATTTCTATTAAAATTAAAATAACATGAGTTCATTAAGAAAAAAGCACAAAAAAGCCACAAGCTACGATCTTTCTTGACATACCTTTGGATTATGCAACTTTTTCTGTTCTTTGGAGAGTTCATCGTTCGAATTCGGCTTGGATTTCGATTTCTTCTTGGCAGAGGCTCCGACTTTCCGTGACCTGTGGGACTTGTGTGGCTGCTCGCTGTTCCCTTCCTGTTTCTTCTCCTTCGCCATGGTTGT